AGCGCCCAGGAAGAACCCACAAAGATCAAGAGACCAGAGGGCAAGAAGAACCTCCCCACCGTCGCGACTCAGCCTCACTGGTTCTGACAGCAGCAAATCTGGGAAAAGTCTGTAAACGCCCGACAGCGGCAAGTGAGTGTTAAGCACCCACCACGGGCCGGGCACTGAGCTAGGCTTGATGTTTTCCACACGGCACGAAAGGCACCTCCGGGATCTTCAGCTGTCCTCTGAGAATCCAGCAGAAGGATTTCACAAAGCAGGCGCTAAATAAGCCACAGGATAAAGTGCCCACGGTTAGAAAGGTAAAAAGTGACAGGACTGGGGCGCCTGGTGGGGTTGAGCATCCGCCTTCGGCTCAGATCACGACCTCACGGTTCGTGAGTTCGAGCCCCCCATGGGGCTCTGCTGACTGTTCAGAGCCTGGAGTCTGCTTTCGATTCTGTGTCTCCCTCTCTCTGCCCCTCCCCCACTCACGCTGTCTCTCTCTAAAAAATAAACATAGGGGCGCCTGGGTGGCACAGTCGGTTAAGCGTCCGACTTCAGCTCAGGTCACGATCTCGCGGTCCGTGAGTTCGAGCCCCGCATCGGGCTCTGGGCTGACGGCTCGGAGCCTGGAGCCTGCTTCCCATTCTGTGTCTCCCTCTCTCTCTGCCCCTCCCCCGTTCATGCTCTGTCTCTCTCTGTCCCCAAAATAAATAAACGTTGGAAAAAAAAAAATTAAAAAAGAAAATAAACATAAAAAAGAAAAAAGAAGTGATAGGAATAGGATTGAAAAGGCCAAGAATGAGAATGTACAATGTAATTCCCAAGGAAAGGAGGACATCTACACAGTCCTGTTAAAGTGGAAAACCCTTTAGGGAGAACTCTTCTAAGAGGAGGGCGGCCGTACCCGACGGAGGTATAGACCTGCCCGGTGCTCACAGCTGACAAGCCTCCCGCAGGCCAGCCCCCTGCCCGGCACCAGGGGTCCCCAGGGACCCACAACCAAGGTCCCCGGCCCGGGACTGTCGGGGAGGCCCATAAACAGGATGATGGGGACAGAAAGAGAGCACTGGGTCACACAGGGGAACGTGGAGTCACCAGAGCGCACCCGAGACCGGTGGAACACCGAACGCTATCTACCCTGCAATTAAAATAAAATTAAAAACTAAAACTAAAAAAAGACATAAAAAGGAGAGAAAGGGACCCGAGGGCTCCTCTGAGCAGAGACGTGACAGGAACGATGCAGCTGCCACAGGACCCTTTGGGGACAGTTTTCCAGAAAAAGCACCGTGGACCCAGCCAAGTGACGCCAGAGGCCAGGAGTCGGGGGGTGAGGGGTGGGGGTGGGGGAGGAGTGGCCGAGAAGCCGGAACGGGCCTCCCCAGACCGTGGCAGTGACCCGGGGCGATAAAATATAAACACGGCGACCGGTGACCGTACTAGGAAAATGAAACCGCGTGCCAGGGAGAAGCGACGGGCACTGTCCCCGCACCCGCACACCCCCCGCCCGGCTGGACCCGGCTCCCACGGGTGGCGGAGCGCGACGCTCGCAGGCTTCCTGCGCTCGCCGGTTGGCGTGAAAACGACAACTCACCGTTGAGTCTGTACTTGAGCCTTCTTCCGTCAGCAAGGGGCATTCCTTCCACAACCTCAAAAAGAACAGAAAGGGATCTTCTTCAGCTAAGACTTTAAACAGCCTCGCGTCGCACGTCGTCGTCGGTTCCCACACGCGGGAGGAGAACCGGGACCCCCGTAGGGAAGGCGGCGGCCAGCGGCAGGCGTCTCACGGGCACCCCGCTCGCCGGCGGAGCCGTTCGGCCAGGATGTTCCCGGCACGCGCCCCGGCGGTAGCGGCGACAGCGGGGAACGGCCACCCTCCCCCGCCCCCGCGTGCGCCACCCCCGGCTCCGCGTACTTAAAACCGTCTATGCTCTGGTCCACCGCTCGCTCCCCACCGCTGAGAAAGCGGAGCAGGGGCCTGCGGTCTCCCATCGGCGAGGACCTCGTGCGCCTGCACCCCACCTAGCCGTGGAGGCCGCCTCGTGTACTTCTCGCTCCTCTACCTACACAGATGCGCACACTCGGTCCCTCAACCGTTCCACGTGATCCTTTATCTCCAAGAGACGGGGAGCACTTCGCGCGCGAGGAGCACTCCGTCTCTCTGTTGGCAATCGCGCACGGCACACCCGCACCAAAGGTGCTCGACAGACACGCGCCTCCCACGAGAGGAGTCAGAATAAAACCCCCACTTGCCCGACAGCGGCCACAGCTTGCTCCCCAAAATAACTATTCAGAAATGTCGCGACTCATCTTAAACACGAAACACCAGGGCCACGTGGGTGGCCGGGGTTAAGCGTCCTACTCTCGATTTCAGCTCAGGTCACGATCTCACGGTCCGTGAGTTCGAGCCCCGCGTCGGGCTCCGTGCCGACAGCTCAGAGCCTGGAGCCTGCTTCCGATTCTGGGTCTCCCTCTCTCTCTGCCCCTCCCCTGCTCACGCTCACTCTCCCTCTCTCTCAAAAATAAATAAACATTAAAAATTTTTCTTAAAGAAAAGTAAAGATACAGACTGAGGTCCCTGGAACTCGGGAGTTTATCAGTTGAGGAGGGAGGAGGTCCCGGGACAATGAGCCCCACCAGCAGAAACTTACCTTCCCAACTGGCAGCAGGTAGAACAGAGCCTGCATTAGAAACCAGAGGATGTAGACCCCAAACACTCTGGTTTCCCACAAATCCTGCCAGGCCGGCAACGGAGGCGGGAAGTTCAGAAGACTGGGCTCCTTCTGTTTACACATCAACAGCAACAGGCAGAGGCAGGCGGGCAGTCCCAGCATGATGAGAAGCACGCCTGCAGACAAGGCTTGAATTTCAGTCCAGTTTAGCTCGCTCTGTCAAGACCCCTTGGGACTTCTGAAGTCAGGACTGGAACCTGGCTAACCGCTGAAAGCGATTTCTAACGGGCCATCACAGACTCCTGGCTGCACCTGCCGTGCCCGGTGGGCAAGTGCCGTGGCCACTGAGGACATCAGCCGCTAGCCAGCACTGGACAGCTGACCTCCGCCCCAGAAACCAGGCTCCAAAACGTGTCAACTCCATCCACTAGGGAGCAGACAAGCTGAGATTCCAGCAAGCTGAAGATCAGAACATCTAAAACCATCAGCCTCCTCTTTTTTTAAAAAAGTAAAGCACTCTATACACCTAAGTTTCTAACAGAACAGATTCCCACGTAGCAGGTGCACAGATTCTAGGCACCTCGGGACACCGTCTCTCACAGACCCGCTAGCCCACAGGGTTTGCTTACAAAACACGAAGCAATTAAGCCATGCAGGACTTGGAACCGGCCCAAAGTATTTTCTTTTACTAGCTCATAGATCGTCACTACTTTCAATCACCGCCCACTTACTAACAGCGAGCCCGGGCCCCCACCCGGCTTGTGACCTGGCCGCCTCACATACCTCCCGAGAAAGGCCTTTCCTTTGGCGCCACTGCCGCGATGGCTCGTGCCCCCACCGCCCCCCCCCCACACCAAGCAGGGGGCGCTGCCTACCAGGGACTCCCCCAAACTCCAGGTCCTTGGTCTGCGTGGCTGGAGCTTGAGAGGTTTTCAGCGACGCAGATCTTGTCGTTGTAACAATGTTTTCTTCCTTTGAGTCCATTGCTTTTATCTCTTCTCTTCTAGGACGCAGGCTATACTGTGCAGATACGTAACTACGTTCCTCTGACAGATGGAATTTTTCCTAGTTGAAAAATAAAGAACACTAACTATTTATAGTCAATAATTATCAGGGTGCCTTGGGTGGCTCAGTGGGTTAAGCAGCTGGACTCCGGCTCAGGTCATGATCTCACCGTTCACGAGTTCAAGCCCTGCGCCGGGCTCTGTGCTGACAGCTCAGAGCCTGGAGCCTGCTTCCGATTCTGTGTCTCCCTCTCTCTCTGCCCCTCCCCCGCTCATTCATTTTTTTTCTCTCTCTCAAAAATAAACTTAAAAAATTTTAAAAAAATAAAAAATTAACTTATGGTCAGTAATTATCATTAATGCCATCACATTAACTCAGGATCTTAATATAGCCGTCTACTAACAAGAATACATTTGTTAAATTATGTTGAACCTTAATTTAAGGACAGAAAAGATTATAAGAAAACACTGGTTTTCAATGTGATTTTTTTTTTTTAACTTATTTTCAGAGAGAGAGAGAGAAAGAGAGCAAGTGAGAGAGACAGCAGGGTTGGGGCACAGAGAGGGAGACAGAGAATCCCAAGCAGGCTCCGCACTGTCAACACAGAGCCTGAACGCGGGGCTCGAACTCATGAACCGTGAGATCGTGACCTGAGCTAAAACCGAGAGTCGGACGCTCAACCGACAG